TTTTGGTTGAGACTGTACATAGAAAACATGATACATAGTGCCTAGCATATAATAAGTGGGCAACACATAGAAACTATGATTACTGTTTTTATTCCAGAAGATGGAGTTTCAAAGAAATATAACACAGTTTAGTTATAGAGACTATTTGAAGAGGTAGACAATGATAAATGAATGCTATGATATGGAAACAATAGGATCAATAATGAGTATTTAAGGAGCTCAAAGAGAGTTTTCTGGAAGAAGCAAAATAGGGTAATGAGGCTGTCTCTCCCCTTCCTCCTATATGACTTTTATGTTTCTTATTTGACCTTCACAGTGGTATGGGACAAGAATCAAACATCCTAATTAGAAGACAGAAAAACAGACCCCCGCAAAATCACATGACTTGTCTACAGATTTCAGATAGGTTTTAATTGACTTATCATATTAACTACATACCAATACGCTTTAATTTATGCATTTTAAATGCATATTTAAGCTTAAGTCATAAGGTGCTTACCCTCTTTATGTATGTATTAATATTTTAGATAATTATTTCACAACCTGTAATTAAATTTCAGTGTAAGTTGTGCTCTAAATTTGATATACATTTACCATCAATATGACTTTCTGAGGCAGAATACTGAGATTATTATCAATCAGAATGCCAGCATTTTTGTTTCTAATTATCAGAAATACAACCCTCTGGCACATATGCCATTTGCGATATGTGTTAAAGAAAGATAGCTAAATGTAGAAAAAGGTGTTTTGTTTTGTTTTGTTTAAAAAAGAAAAAAGGCATGAGGGCCAGGCACAGTGGCTCATGCCTGTAATCCCAACACTTTGGGAGGCCGAGTGGGGAGGATCACTGGATCCCAGGTGTTCTAAACCAGCCTGGGCAACTTGGTTAGACTCAGTCTCTACAAAATATGTTTTAAAAATTAGCCACTGTGGTGGTGCATGCCTGTAGTCCCAGCTACTAGGGAGACTGAGATGGGAGGATTGGTTGAGCCAGGGAGTTTGAGGCTACAGTGACAGCTATGACTTCTGCCTGGGTGACACAGCAAGACTGTCTTAAAAAAAAAAAGAAAAAAAGGCCAGGCACGGTGGCTCAAGCCTGTAATCCCAGCACTTTGGGAGGCCGAGACGGGCGGATCACGAGGTCAGGAGATGGAGACCATCCTGTCTAACACAGTGAAACCCCGTCTCTACTAAAAAATACAAAAAAATAGCCGGGTGAGGTGGCGGGCGCCTGTAGTCCCAGCTACTTGGGAGGAGAATGGCGCAAACCCGGGAGGCAGAGCTTGCAGTGAGCTGAGATCCGGCCACTGCACTCCAGCCTGGGCGACAGCGTGAGACTCCCTCTCAAAAAAAAAAAAAAATTGCAAAGATTCCACAGAACAACCCTTCAGAAGAGACAAACAACTTCATCACATTAAAATATATTAGCTACAAACATAAAATATTCAGATGCAGACTTGATGATTTACTACTAATGATCGTTGAAGTTTAAAAAGAAAAAACTGAAAATGGCATTCAAAATTTGATGAAATAAATCAGAAGTAGCCAAAATAATCACATCTCAGATGACCTGCTAAAATTTTAGTTCCAAAGAAAGAGTAAATTGGAAATTTCAGCTTGGTAGCAAGCTCCTGTTGCTGCAGTAGATGAAAAGATTTTGAGCTGGAGAGTGACTCTATATTTAAGAATATTCTGACGATGTTGGCAAGACTGGAAACAGGATATGGTTGAGGCAGGACATTAAGCCAGAAGCTGCTTCGGTCATCAAGATTGACATATGGGCCACAGGAGAATTGAAGAAAGGATGATGTAGAAACTCCTGAGTGGGGAGAATTGAGAGGGCTTAGGGTCCATCTGAATGTAGGAGGCACAGGAGGGGAAGGAGTTCAAGTGATAGCATAAGGCTTTCCAGATGGTTTTAGGAGCAGCTGAAAGGCACAACTTGACAAAAATGTCCTACTTTTAGACCAACAATGAAATAGGTTCTAACCTCCAGCAAAGCCTTCAGAAGCCACTAGCTTATCCTTCTGAAGGAAATCTATTCTACCTAGGTTCTTGAGAAAAGAGCCCTCATTTAACATTAACTCTGACTTTAACTTGGAGAAAATATAGTTTTATCATAGAAATTTTTCTGTGGAAAACATGATCTTTTTAGTAACTGTTGTACCCATCCCACTGTCCCCACCTTTTAACTTAAGGGAGTGACTTGGGCTTTTATTTTTCTATCTGAAAACGTGGGATAGCAACACTTTCCTCAAAGAGCTGCTTAAGCTTCTGGAAAACAATGAAATATGAACCACACACACACACAGCTAGAAGAAGGAAGGTTATTAAGGTTTCTGTACTAATCAAATATGATGTTGGTGGATAAGAAGGAGGTCAGTGGGTGGAAGTTACAGGGACACAGATTTCACCCCAGGGTAAAGAGAAACGTTCTGGGATTCAGAATTTTCAGAAGCTGAAATGGGTCACCTGGAAAGAGAGCAAGCTACCAGGCACTGGGGGTGTTCCAGCCAAGTGAAGTAGCAGAAAAGATACTTTTCATCAAGCCGTGGCACACATGGTAGATCATGGCTCCATGTTCATGGGCTTGCCTAACCAAGATTACATTACTTATTTGTCTCTCCATCTCTTCTAGTAAGGGGACGATAGCATAAATTCAGTGGACAAGGATATTGATAATTAACCATTAATTGTAATGGATTAACATTTATTAAATGTTTATCATAGGCGGGACACATATGTGCTTTATAAATGTTCTCACACTTAATTAATCTGCAGATAAATGCTGTGAAGCCAGGTTTATGACTGATTTGAAATAGGCTCAGAAAGGTGAAACACTGGCCCATGACTTCCTGGCTAATAAGTGAGGCAGCCAGGACAGAAACACATGTTTTCTTGTCTCTATGTTGAAGTTTATTGAGGAAAAGGAGGAGGAAGAGATGAGGCAAGAGGACAAAGTAGAGAGAGGAGGAAAACATTCACAAATATTAGCCAAGCACCTTAAATATGATCAGCCATAAATCACTCATGACACATGCCAGAAGTGAAAAACACAATGTAGAGAGGTACTTTTCATACTCACCCTTTTCCAGAGAACTACCCCTATCTACTTAGACAATGACTGGATAGCCCCAGTGGACTGGGATGTAGTCTGAAGAAAAGTTCTTATTTTATATCACAACGTGGCCATTTAAAAAATATAAAACATGCCTCCGTATTTTAGAACAAAATGAACACACAATAGAATGCATGTCATATTTATCATGTAACTTTGTGTATCCCCTGGGATTGTTACGTTTTTCTCCACCCCACTCCAGTTTTAGAATTATCACCAGATGAAGTGTATGCTCATTAGTCTAGATGTGGATAAAGTAGCCAACGAGCTAAATGAAATCATAAACCCTATAAGTCTATCAACAAAATAGGATTCGAGGTTTACAAAACAACCATCATTCATGCATAAATCAAGATATTTGTATGTCCACCTATTTCATCTTCATTGGCAGAGCACTAAGTCTCCAGGGATTTTTGGTCTACCCACAATATTAGTAGTTCCAGTGCTGCTGAAACAAACTCCCTTTGGGGTAATACATCCAATATTCTCAGGAAAGTTGTGTTCTTTCCCAGGGTCCTTCAATGCTCATAAACTCCAACTCATTATTGCGTTGAGAGTCTGAAGACATTCTCCGTCCATTGCCCCTGCACCTGTTATCTTGCTGGCCTTAACCAAACAGCCCAAACCCTAACAGCAGCTGAAATAACAGATGGGCAGGAGAACTTGAGATTTTTTGACATCATCCTTTTGTTTATGAAATCCCCCCCAACTCTGGAATCTGATAGGAATTCTCTTCATTATCATTTTGTGATTTTTCCCATGGTACTTTTTTATTATTAAAAAAATTATTATTAAAAAGAATAGATACAGAGGTAGATGAAAGACAGGAATAACATCTTCATTTGAGAATGGTCATAAAGGAAATAGGGAGGGAGATGTGGTCATGTGGAATTGACATGAACATATATTTGCCTTGGAGGATAATTGGCAGTAGCCGTGTTCATTTGGTGGTTTGTTTTTGAGAAGTCAGAGCAGGTACTAGGAGGTCTTTAGGTCGAGGAGAGATGCAATCTAGGCAAGATGGAAATCTGGCAGGAAGCAGTCCTTGGAATTGTGATTCCCAGGACATGACCCGACTTTGCAAGGGGCGAGGTTATTAAAACAGACCTAAAATAGGGATAAGATAGGCAGAATATAGGATATCACTTAATAGCATATGATTATAAACAAGTTGCTTTACCTTCCTATGCCTCAGATTCACCATCTGTAAAATCAACATGTAAATACTAGCAGCCATGTAGGGATGTTTTGATTCTCAAATAAGAAATTCATGAAAAGTGTTTAGCCTAAGGCCCCATATTCTATTAATGGATGCTGTTATTATTATTATTATTATTATTATTTTGTCAAGAGTGAAAGAAGTAGGGAGAAGCAAGTGGCAGGGAGGCAGAGATCCACTGTACATGCAGCATCAGAAAGGGGTTTGCTCACGTGTAATGGAGTTTCTGCTCAGGTTTTAAAATGAAGAAACATGATCACACCTAAGAATCTGGTGTGGTGCTTTCCCACCTCTGTGCTTTTGTTTATATTTATTTTTCCTGAATGGCTTCCTCACAAACATCTTCATTTTTAGTCATTTGCCATCTGATACTTTTCCAACAGGGTTGCTGTATAGGTTAAATTAAAGAAAAAAAACACATAGTAAGTACATAGTTATCAGTCAATTGATGCTAGTTTTACTGTACATTTTAGTGTAGTCCATTATACTTAGCCAACTGATGTAACCATAGTGGACAATAGAAAGTATTGGATAACTAAACGTGCATTTGATTTCACAAATGAGCAAGACTGATAGAACGTACTCCAGGGGGTCAGTTTACCATTCTCTCCTTGTCTGCCCAGTATTGTAATTGTATAATTATGTCTTCTTTGTATTTTCCAGGGATCTAAATCGTAGCAGTGTGTACCAGTATTGGGTCATAACTATTTCAGGAACTGAAGAGAGTGAGCCGTCACCTGCTGTCACATACATCCATGGAAGTGGGTACTGTGGCGATGGCATTATACAAAAGTAAGTAGATCTAATTAAAGAAAGAAGAGGAGGGATGCTGATTAGGTCAAGAGATGGTTAGGGTGCTGAATAGAAGAGCTTATGACATATTCTTCGATGCATGAGCTGTGAACTACTAGTGGTCCCCAGCAGTCTCTGGATTGGTCTCCAAACAATTTGCTGAACTCAGAAGAAAAGCTATGACTATTTTTTTGAACACATACATTTTGCAACTATGTAATACAACATATGATTGAGACAGAACTACCCTTATGCACCTACTATCATTTGCTCTTGCTCTCAGTTGCTTTATGTGTGCTACAAGGATTCCATTAGATTTTTCCGTCCCAGTCACAGCACACATTCAGTTAACAGGACGCAGTTCATCTAGGTTAAAACACTTTTACGTACTTTGCTGGTTACCATTCACATTTGTGAAAACTGCATATTTATTTGTTACCTCTATTGTATCATATTATATAACAATTTACAAAATGGGTCAAAGGCTCATAAAGATAGTGAAGTATTTTAACTCACTACAATGTTTAACCCATAAATAATAAACAGTACTCTGGAGTGAAAATTGAATGTGTATATGAGTACACTGAGGCAAATGAATCAGTAAGTGTGGATTTTATGAGATTATCAATCCATTCATCCTCTTATTCTCAGGACAAGATGCTATGCAACTGGCAAATAGGGAAGGGGAGCCACCAAGACTTTTGCATTGTTTAAAACTCAATAAATAAAGTTTTAAGCGCTTTTCCTCCAGAATAAGAAAAAAAGTTTTCTAGCACAAAATTGAGAGTTTTGTTTCTAGAGGTGGAGAAGAGACCAATAATCTTTCAAAATTATATCTCTTATTGCTAAAATTATGCTCCTCATTGCTAAAGTGTTTATCTGCAAGTCACACTATTGCTAAGAGACTTTTTAAACTATGGACAGATTTAATGATAAATATTACATGTGGAGAAGGCAAAACAAGCTATTGGCAAAATTTCTTCATTAAATAGCACTGTTGGGTGTCACATAATATCTGTGCAATATGGAATTGCAATTACTATTTCTATAAGGGGAGGGGTGGTATGAAAAAAGAATTTGCTTCACAGTTGGATGAAACCACTGATGTGTAGAACATGAATCAACTCATAGGAGTAGTACATATATGAAAGACACACACTAGATGACTCTTTCTTTCTGTTCATCACTAACACTAAGCTAGAGGGGAAGAACAATTTAATTTGTTTCTGATGATTTTGTGGTATGGAATGTAAACTGGAAACATCAGCTTTAGGATGAAAGGACCAGCTAGGAATACAGCAAGGATGATGCAGTAATGCAAGTGAAAAGAGCTGGCATATAGATACTCATCCACATAGACATCAGTTATTTGCCAGCAGTATTCTTTCTGAATATAACTTAATATTCAAGGCAATAGAAATGTTGCAAACATGATCAGATCATTGGCAAATTATATCTTTTAAACTTGCTGTGTAAAAAGATAGCAGTATTTATAAGATTCTGTTCCTCTTTGCTCCCCACTCCACAACTAAAGTTTGCCAACTGTTAATGAAAAGGTACTAACTCAAGTTATTAAAATAAGAAATGACATTTTAAAAATTGGCACTGATAAGGCACGTAATTATTTGCATAATCTCAAGTGGCTTTCTGAAGCAGGAACATATATTTATATCATATATATATACACACACACATATATATATATATATATTTTGGGCTCATATATTTATTTCTTAAATGTCCTACACCTGAAATTTAATATCTGAATTGTCAAAATGTTTAAGATTGAAGAGATTAGTGTAAGGGTTTTTTAAGTGTTGCATTATAGTGCAAATCAGCTGATTGCCAAGAATTTGTACAGAATAGTACAGAATAGAAAGCTCCTCACTTTGTTTGAGCTATTTAACATACAATGCTGTGTGTATTTAAGATCCACATTCATATGTAGCAACAGAAAAAGAATATATAGTTTCCAATGCAGTAAAATTGGGGAAAGGGGAACTTCCCGCTCTTCTCTCCCACATTAATTCATCAAATTCCAGGTTTTAATACAGCTACTGTCTGATTGAACATTGAACAATTAAGCGGAGGGCTTTCCATGGAGAAAGTACCCCATCATTTGTGGGTCCAATAATGAACTTCATATCTAGAATATCCAGAAAATATTTGCAGTCATTGCTGATAACTCATAATTGTGATTTGGGAATTTCTAATTTAGCCCAATTTTTTTTTTCAAGTCGCCAGATTTCGATTCTCATCTGCTGCTCATCTCAGCTCATGGTGGAAACAGATATAGATGCATTGGTTAAACACTACAAATGATATCATTCTTGCTGATCTAAAACTATTAGTATCATAATTATTATTAATTTTAAATAGTATACTTAATTTAATACAGTTTTTTTTTTTAGTATTTTTACCTAGCATTAGTATCTTGCATAAACATCAAACACATGTTCAGTTACCTGTAGATATCAAATATTTGTTGATATACTTTGTAGGAAACTAAATATAGCTTACAGATGTTTCCCTAAGTGGGGATGGGGAGTGGGGGGAAGGAAAACTTTGGGGAAAAGAAGGGATATCATCTTAGCTAATAGGATTTTTCCTGGAATGATGCAAGTTAATTTGCTCTGTAAAAGAATTTACGAAGAAATATGGATAGATGCAGCACTCAGTGAGGCCCTTAATGGATGAGTGCTGTCTTATATGATCCATAGCAGCAGATCCTACGTTTCATAGATCGGGTAAAGGTGAAGGCAATGGATGAGCGTTTTGATAATGGCAATAATATTTATACACACTTCTTGAGCCTCTACTGTTCATGAAGCACTGTGCTACATTATTGTCTCCTTGACTTCTTCCACCCAACAGCCATGTGAGATAGGTCTTATTATAATACTTTACAGATAAACAACTAATGCACAAAGAGATTATAGAGGTTTTCTCAAGCTTCCATGTCTGGTAAGATGTAGAACCAGTACATGAACAGAGGGCCCAAATTCTCATCTGGATTCCCCATAGCATTGTTGTGCGATGTGACAACTCTGCAAAACTAACAAGTAAAGGAGTGGCTACATGCTGTCTGTTGTATCCTAGGCACTGTGCCAGAAACTGAGGTGCTAGGATGATGAAGACTCTGTCACTTCCTTTGGCAAATTACAGTCTCTTATAAGGGGCTCTCAAGTAACAGGCAAAGGCAGTCAGTTTGACAAGTGCTGTGATAGATGGAGCAAGATGTCTATGGACACAGAGAAAGATGGCCACCTGCTCCAGCCCCAGAGGTCAAATAAGGTTTCGCAGAACCTCTTTATCTAATGATAGATCTGTCATGCCTAGAAGATATTTGTAGTGACCCGAATGTTTTGTTTAAACCAGTAGAACACTGTTTGGGTGGCAATGGAAGGGAGGTTGAAAGTAAGCTTTGTGGCTTAGGGAACCAGCCCAGGTACTTTTTTTTTTTTTTTTTTTTAAGTCTTTTCCAAAACAACCCATGAATTAGCTTAGAAGCACAAGGTCATCAGCAATTTCCAGCAAGCAAGATCCACTGCCAGAGAATGCTGAGACCAGCTAGAAATACAAACTTCTTTGCTCATAGGTGTGCAGACAGGAGAGGACTTGGGTGGCTCTTTGGAGATCAATGCAATGCCCTAGACATCCTAAGGATTGATTGCAAGGCATTATCCTGCTACTCTGACACCTCTTAAAAGAAACAAACATTGTCCAGTGTTAATTGCCTGGGTGAAAGGAGAAGTCTAAGGCCTCTTCCATGCTGTGACAGGTCCCAGCTGGTCTCTGGGGAGGGAGGGACAGCTGTCACACACTCTGCAGAGACCTCCCAAAGCAAAGTGGGAATGGGGACTGTGACTCCTTGAGCATCTTCTATGTGTCACCCACTGTACTGACCACTTTAAGCTACTCAGAGGAGTAGGACTAATTATTTCCATTTTAGCACATGAGAAAACTGAAGTTCAGCATCCACAGGAGCACTGTTTAATGGATTTTTCTGCAATGATGGAAATGTGTTCTGTGCTGTTCTTTACAGTAGCCACTAGCTACATGTGGTTCCTGAATACTTGAAATGTGGCTACTATGACTGAGGATTGGAATTTTAGTTATAATTCATTTCAATTAATTTAAATTTAAATCATCACAGAAATATCAGATCAAGAGGTCAAGTGACTTAGTCAAAATTATACAGTTAGTTTGAGACATGGGGTTCTAAACCCAAGTGTTTTGTTTTTTGAAGGATGATCGTTTTCCAGAAAGCAATAACCCATCCAGACTTTCAGGTTTTGCTGTTCCTTCTTGTTACCTAAGCCCAATTCAAAGATCATTGCTCATTTTCTGCCCATCCCAACCTTTGCAAAATCATCCTTAGGTGATGGAAATAATTCCAACAAAAACAAAGGGAGCATTAATATTTCTTAACAGTGTAGTCTCGCAGCCCTTGGAGTTCTTGACACCAAGAAATGACACACCCAATGGAGAAAGCAAAACTTTCCAATGGAAGGGTGACTAAACTTGAATGTATGAATGAAAAAAAAATTGTTACCTTTAAGTATATTGGGAGAATAAGAAGGATATCAAGGCAGGGAGTGGTGAAGGAACAGAATCTCTACATTTTCCTTCAAATATGCTCTTTTAAGATCAGAAACAAGAAAATGTCCATGAGACTTCCTAGATGCTGTGAGAGCAAGACCATTTATTTGTTCATTAGTTCTTCCATGTGTTACTCCCATCTGACTTGTTAACTGACTCAGAGAATCTCAGAGAATGAGTTGGAATCAGGAATTCCACTTTGTCATCAGAAACACAAAGCAAAGCAAATGTGAAAGTATCTTATAAGTCTACACCTTTTAGAAATCTCATCTTGAAGATGAAGAAAGAGACTCAGACAGAGAAAGGGATTTGTGCAAGGTCTCACTGACAGTTCATGGCCCAGGGAGGGACTTTTCCATGTCCAGCCATGGTTTTGAGACTAAATTGGCACATTTCTCTTCCATATCTGCTCTGCAGAGACCAAGGTGAAGAATGCGATGACTTGAACAAGATCAATGGTGACGGCTGCTCCCTTTTCTGCCGACAAGAAGTTTCCTTCAATTGTATTGGTACGTCTTTTTCATTTCTCGTGGCCTTCATGAAGAAGTGAACGGTGCAGAATGGTTGGTTAACAATAGTTATGACTAAATGATGATTCACTCCTTTGTATTACACCTGTTTATTGAGTGCCTCCTACGTGCCAGGCACTGTTTTCAGTATCAGGAAATACAGCAGTGAAAAAACAAACAAAGCAATCCCTCAAGAGCTTAAGCTCTCATAGATGATGCCAGTGACGGGTAACTTCTTTTGATCAAGCTTTACCTTACAAACATCCCTGCTTTTCTTCACACTAAATGTCCAGGATGGGTATTACTGGAGATGTTTTAAGGCTTTTATTCCTACTTCAGAGATAAGAAAAAATCAAATGCCAGAAAAATTTCAGAAGTTGTCCAGAGTTATACAGGTCAAAGGTGATTAAAGACAGAATCAGAACTTGAACCTGATTTTGTCTGATTCTCAAGCTCAACTCATTTTGCTTTGCAACCTCCAGCCGGGATCCAGGAACTACCAGGGTCCCCTCTGCAGACTCAGAAACTTGGACAGTCTCTCCGATCTGAGAAAGGAGGAATAGCAGACCAGCCTGTGTTTAGGAAGCAAATGTCCTTTTCCCACCTTCACCAAGCCGTTTGGGAAATTTGTTTTCCTCTGCCTTCTCTTGGAGTCTGGCTGATCTTGTTGTTTCAGCCCCACTTGGGAGGCCCTGGTCAGCCCCGGGCTGGTAAACAGACAGGGCTTGGGGGGCAGGGGTGGAATTTTGAGCTGGCCCAGATGAGATCATACTTCCTTTAAGATGCAAATCGATACCTGAAGATCAAAGGTCCCCCAGCTAATCCCCTGGGCTGGAGGTGAAAACTAATCACAATTCATTTGCAAGTACAAAAGACAGAGGTGCTCTATCTGAAGAGAGAAGGGGCAGTTACAAGGGGATGAAAACCTTCGTGGGAAGATTTCTCACTGACAGGCAATTTTCCAAGACTAAAGAGGAAAAGATAGCATTGCATCCTCGCATCTGCAGTGCATTACAGGGGTGCATTTAGACATTCTCCCAGTAGATTGTGAGCTCCGTGACGGTGAAGACCATATATCACGTGTGTCTTATTCAATTCTCAACACACATTTGTTGAGCACCTACTATCTTCTTGGCACCCAGTAGGGGCTAAGCAACACAATTGAAGTGCTCTGTAAATATTTATGGTTGGAAGATAAGAAGATGCCCCAGAAGGAAGGACACGGGAGTTTCTAGGCAGGGCCTTGGGTTTTAAATTGCCAAAAAATTTTCTCTCCTCTGTGGATTTGAGTATGGTCTGGTCCGTAGTAAAAGCTTGATACTAGCCTAGTGGTGTGGTGGAAAGAACTTTGGATTAAAATTAGGAAAACCAGGTTCTAGTGCCAGCTGTGCTGAGAACTTACATAACTCTAGCCAAGTGGCTTCCTTAGTCTTGGCCTCAGTTTACCTACTGTAAATTTTTAAATGATTGGGTTAAGTGGTCTTAACTTAAACTTAAGAGCCTTACCTGCGCTTCTGTTGTGTGATTTTTTCGAGGTGGGTGACTGAATTCCTTCTAATTGTGAGCTCTACCTGAGCCAAACTCTTACCTTTGTCATCATCCTTATGGCAACTAACACTAGTCCCAGACCATGGTGAAAAATATCTGCCTATTTAACTTGCACTGATGTGGCATGTAACTTATGTGCTTCTGGAAAGAAAGTAGGATGGGATGAAGGTAGGATGTGGTACCCTGAAAAGGATGCTTGAGCCTTGACATTCATCTGCTGTGTTGCTTCAGAACTATGCAATGATCAGGAAAAATAAGGGCATCTCTAATAGGTAGAAGCTCCTCATCCATGGAAGGGGTCTGCAAACTGTGGTCCCTAGGCCATAACGAACCTACTCCCTGTAATTGTAAATAAAGATTTATTGGCACACAGTCACACTCATTACTTTGCATATTAACTGTGGCTGCTTTCATGCTACAGTGAAAGAGTTGAGTGATGGCAGCAGAGATTCCATGGCCCAAAGAAACTAAAATATTTATTATCTGGTATTTTACCTATGAAGTTTATCAACCCCTGTTCCATGGATTTGGGATATTTTATATGCTTGTTTACTGGAGCCAGGTGCAGATAGTAGGTGAAAATCATAATGTGGTTCACCATTTCTTATTAACAAAAAACTGCATTTTAAACATACAGTGTAGCTGGAAGTGGTGACGGGCACGCATAATCCCAGCTACTTGGGAGGCTGAGGCAGGAGAAGCACTTGAACCCAGGAGACAGAGGTTGTGGTGAGCCGAAATCGCGCCATTGCATTCCAGCCTGGGTGACAGAGTGGGACCCTGTCTCAAAACAAAATGAAAAAAATGAGGGAGTTTCCGAGAGGATGAGACTGAGATCCTCCTAGGTTCATTTTGTAGACTGTTATTCTCTACCAGATTCTGTGTTCTGCTGCTGATGATGATATTTGCTGAATACTTCTTATATACCAAGCACATTTATAAACTCTTATTCTCATAACAACTCTTGTACTGAACTGCCCTTTCAAAAGAGGAAGTTGAGGCATGGGGTGATGATCTAAGGATACACAGTTAAGTGGTGGAGCTGGAATTTAAACCCAGAGAGCCTGACTCCAGAGCTCACTATGGTAAGTTACCTGCCAAAAAAGATAGCTCCTGGTCTTGCAGGCTTTCAGGGTGAATGAAAAAAAAAAAATTGTGAATCAAGTCATGTCACAAATTAATGGAACGGAATACAAAACCATCAGTGGTGTGGACAGTGTCCAGGGAAGGCTCTCTGTTACCCCTGTATGTTGAGTGGAGTTTATGTTAGAGGAAAGCCTTCAGCTACGCCCTTCACTGGCCACTTAAAATCTCATTATAGACACTCACAGAGATACAGGCATTCCAGAGATCCCAGCTCCCAGGGACTACATTCCAAGGACAAATCGTGTAGCTCAAGTCTAGAAAACTATCTTCCTCTGAAAGGAACAGCTGAAAAATAGACAGTGAATCCTTACTCCCAGCAGACCAATCTTTAATGAGTCAGAGAAATGAGACAAGTGTGGGAGGCTGTGCTGAGGTTGACATTGTTTCCATGATTGCATTTGTTAAGACAGTGGTCAAGATAGCAGCCAGGAGATCAGGCATACCATGACTTAGATGTGTAACTGGCTAAGCCTCAGTGTTCTCATGTAGAAAATGGTAAAAGTCCTAGAACCCAACAGTGGAAGTTATTTACCAATATTTTTGGATGCTATCTATCAGAATTTCCTTCCTAGACTTAGGAGATAATTATTCTAATAAGGAAAAACCCAACGCTTAGTATAGAAGTTGATTATCCGCCGGGCGCGGTGGCTCAAGCCTGTAATCCCAGCACTTTGGGAGGCCGAGGCGGGTGGATCACGAGGTCAGGAGATCGAGACCATCCTGGCTAACATGGTGAAACCCCGTCTCTACTAAAAATACAAAAAAAACTAGCCGGGCGAGGTGGCGGGTGCCTGTAGTCCCAGCTACTCGGAGGCTGAGGCAGGAGAATGGCGTAAACCCGGGAGGCGGAGCTTGCAGTGAGCCCAGATCGCGCCACTGCACTCCAGCCTGGGTGACACAGCGAGACTCTGTCTCAAAAAAAAAAAAAAAAAAAAAAAAAAGAAGTTGATTATCCAAGCGTCTCCTCCCGGTCTTCCTGGTAGCTTGAGTGTGGGTATATAAAACCTAGGCTTTCCCTCTGCCCTCCAATCAGACACACCAACCCAAGACTTTGAATTGGAAGCTAGTAGTCCTTAGACTTAGGGATACTGTAGACACCCTTTTGCTGAGGATGGTGGGAGTAGCCACATCCATATCAGCCTCCTAAGTACCAGGGAAGGCATCTAGCATCAAAGCTGAGATAGCTATGCACAGCACCAGCTCTGGATCCACTCACTAAACTAGTTTTGGGACATAATCTTGGGCTTGGAATTGAGTTTCAGAGCACAAAGTCCTGGCTCTCCAGAGAGTGTTCCATATGTACCCAATATTCTTCGAGTAAATTTTGCTTGTTTGTTTTGCTTAATTTATCCAAAGTTGTTTTTTGTTGACTGTCACTCAGAGTCTTGACTGAAAATTATTGCCATGGATAATGTGAGATTTAACCCCATTTCTAGCAAGTTGGATGTGCTTGATGCACATGAGCTATTACTTTTTTCCGTGTGTGTTTGTGTGGAATGTTGGGGGCACAGGATACCAGCAACAACCACCATTTATGGATACCCACTAAGTGATTTGTTCTTCATACGCACTTCTGTTTTCTGTGAACTACAGGTGGTCTCTTGTTTCCATATGTGAGATCTGAGGTCTCTTATAACATCTTCACTTGCACTAGGTCACACAGCACACAGAGGTGTGATCCTGTCTCCAGTCTGAGTAGAGAACCCTGCTTTTTCTACTCCTCTGCCTCTCCATTTGAATGACTTTCTTCCTTCCTTCCACCATTCTTTCCTTTTTCTTCTTTTCTCTTCACCTCTTCCTCTTCCCCCCTTTTCCTCTCCTCCTCCTCTTCTTCCTTCACTCCTTCTTCTGCCTCTTATTCTTCTCCTTTTTCTCCTTCTCTTCCTCTACCTCTTCCACCTTTTTCTCCTTCTCCTGCTTCCATTTAGAAAGGCTGATGTTTTCTCTGGCTTAGTAACACCAGCGTTAGGGTGGGTGACAGATTTATGGTGACATTCCCATTCACTTTTCAGAAGCCCACACATCCGGAAATATTCCCAAGGTGCCAATGTGTTATTATGCAACACCCTGGGGACTTCCTGTTCTCAATTTCCCACCCCTGGTGCCCTCATCCCCCAGCACATAATAAGTTGCTTGTTAAAATGAACACCACCCACATGACCTCCCAAGCAATGCAGGCTTCTTCCCCTTGCAATGTGGAAGTTATCTTGTCTTTTTTCCCCCTCTTTTAAAAATATAACATACACCAGGCCTGAGGTTTCAGTGAAAAAATGTGATATCAGTAAAATGATAACTCCCCGCAACAG